GAGCCGGTACGTCCACCCCCTGCCGAGGAAGGTGCAGCGAAAGCCGGAGTATTAGCCATTGGTTCCAGGGACTGTTGGTAGCGTAGGCGTGCCTCTTGATGAACCAATTTTGTACCCAATTTGTCAAAAGTGAGCCCTTCAGGAAACAAGGTCAAGGGTCCAACCAATGATTCATATCTCGGTCCCAATCCTAAAAGAGTGTATTGAATGAGATCGGCATTGGAGACCGGCGAGTTAATGGAGGCCAAATTATCAGCAAGAGTTTGAATTCCACGAACGTACTCCTCCATGGATTGATTCTCCTTCTTTTTGGTGTGAGACAACATCTGCTTTAACTCCATGGCGCGAGCAAGACTGGCAGCCATGAATCGAGATTCCAATCGTTCCCAAATAGCAAAAGAATTTTTCAAGGTATGAACCTCCATCAAAATTTCACGGGATAGGGTAGCAAATAACCAAGCACGCACAGTTTGGTCCAATTTCAACCAATGATGATATTCAGGATTAATAGATTGAGCCTGATATAAATCATAGATATAAAGAGGCGGAGGTGGTAGAGACCCATCAAGAATGCCCAAAAGACCGTTGGCCACCAGAAAAGACTCAAATTGGGTTCGCCAGGGCAAATAATCTTCGACTTTTAGCAATTTGGAGGTCACAATTTGTGTGATTGAGGCTCCAAAAGTCATACCTTGAGCCAAAGTAGCATAAGAAATAGGAAGAGAATTATCTACCGGTCGATGCCCAATATGCCCAGTCGGTTGTGGCATGAACAACCCGGGACTGCCGGATAGGGTGGGACCGGCGAACCTGGCTCGAGCAGCACCGGCAGCACTCGACTCGGCGTGCGAGTCGGCTGTAAACATCGGCGGCATAGGCTGCTGCGTCGTTGGTGGCGTCGGAGTCCAAGTAAAAATAGGCAGTACCCACGAAGAAGAAAGCGGCGAGATCGGAACATCATTGGTGATGATGGACGTCTGCGGCGGCACTGAGAAGGTGGGTCGCGTCTGTTGAGCCGCGCTCAAAACTGGCGTCTCAACCGCCGTGGTTAACCCGGCGGAGGCGGCTATTGTCTCGGTGGCAGCGGCGGTTGTAGGTGGGGAGGCCATCGGAAAAAAAAAATTAACTGGCTAAAGACCTAGAGCTCTTGATACCATGTGAGAATAATCGGAAGGCTTACCAATGTGGTAGCCCTAGGTGTCATATATATAATAAAAATATGTCCTGAATACATTAGGAAACTACATAAAGATGGAAACCTAATTAATGGGTATTAATTACTCTATTAGTTTCTATAATAATTGGTTAGGGGTAAACACTTACGGGGTCTTGGAAATTACGATAAATTTCATAATCGGTAAAGATGCCATTAAATGGACCACATAGTTTTGGGTATCGTTCATAGAAAAGACCAAAAAGAAACAAGTGAAACATGCACTCGTGAAACCGGTACTGTTTGGGCCCGGCCCGGCCCGGGAACCGGGTACCGGTACCGGATCTAGGCCCAGTTTTTAGGGGGTAAGCGGAGCGGGTACGAGCTGAGGTAAATGAGAACCGGCCCGGCCGGTCCCGGGCCCAGTTCGAACCTTTTCAATTTTTCTTTGTGTTTTTTTTTGTTTGGAGCTTTGGGCTGGGTTTAAATGAGCTGGAATGGGTGTTTCAGATGGGTTTGTGTGATGGGGGGTAGGGGATAAAATAATCAAGAAAACAAAACGAAAAAAAAAAAATAGAACCGGACCCGACCCGACCCAGCCGGGGCCCGGACGGCACCGGTCAACTTCTGGGCCAGTCCCGGGTATCACTGAATTTTTTTTTTTGGCCTGGCCGGGCATTAGGCCCGACCCGGTTGAGTCCATGCCTACACGATACTATGGTGATTAACACCTAAACCATATAGAATGAATCAATTAAATAAGAGCAATAACATGTGTGCAGCTTTCCTTGCCAACGATTGTTATTTCCATTTTGTTTCGGTTTGGGTTGGAACATATTCTGTATGATTCTTGATTGGTTTCCAATGGATGAACTTGTTGAGAACTGATGTAGAATTAGGATGTTTTCTTTGGACTATTTTTAGTTTCAAACCAAACCAGACTTAAATAGATTAAATCAAATTAGACTTAAAAAGACCAGACCAGACTAAATCAGATTTGGACAGTTCTAAAATACACATAGATCAAACATTTATCAGACCAAATCAGATTCAAACAGACTAGACCAAACCAACAAATTTCAATCCAAAAGAAAGCATCCTAACTATTGAGGAAGAGGAGGATAGGGATTGATTTTTGAACTATAAGCGGTGGGAGGCGATGGCGAGGGCGCTGAGGTGTCATGTTTCTCGGTAGTGACACGGGATTAGTCCTGGACTCGGGCCGGGTCCCGCCGGTTCTGAATAGGTGGGACTGAAACCGGCCCGGGTAGCCACTGGGTCCGGGTCGGGCCAAGCATCGGGTCAATTTTTTTTCCTTTTCCTAATTAACCCCCCCCCCCCCCCACCACCACCACCACCAACCCCCCAAACCACCCCCAAATGGCCCAAGATACTCAGTCCAACCCGAAAAGTTAAAAAAAATGAAAAAAAAAGCCTGGAACCGGGCCGGTTCGGCTTTTGGGTGACCCGAGCCCACACCGGGAACCCCCCGGGCCGGGCCTACCCGGACCGGGCCGGTTCAGCACAGTACCGGTTCCGGGTCGGGCCACCCGGCCCGAGTCCAAGACTACACGGGATTAAATACCAAGTACGATTTATAAAACTGAAAAAACAAACTTGACAAAAAACTAAGGGGCTGTTTACTTTTTTTTTTTTGCATTAAGTCCTGGATGGATTAAGACGTCTGTCTGGATTTAGTGACACTGAGATAACAAGTTGTTTACTATGTGTGCTGAATGAGAAGTCTGAATTATGTTAAATGACCAAATAGCCCTCCTTTCTAAAACATGTGATGGACGTGTATTGCATGTCTGTTTACTTTCCTTGTTCTGAAAGATAATTTCATATGCTTAATAAAAGAGTCACATTACATGATAAGAAAAAGTCAAATATTCTATGACAACATCATTTTAAATTTAAAGATTTTTCTACTAATCTATATTGGCAATTTGATTTCACAAATTCATCATATATTATAGAATTTGGGTACCCATTGCGCACTATCTTCTTCTCCAATATCTTCACCGTCTTCTTGCGCACTTTCTAATAAACAAAATGAACCACAAGCAGAATATTAGGTGATCAAAAACTTCCAAGCTTTTTTTGATAAAAATATGAAATGTAATTATTGTATCCACTAGAAAGAGGTAGAACATTAGCTACTATTAAAAAAATTCAAACTTCAAAATAGTAACAATGTTTTATATCTATAGTTGACATATCAATTAAACATATCAGAAAAACATTTGAAGTAAGCGTTTTGGTGCAGGTAAGTAGTGCATATATTATTTTAGATTTATTTTAGAAATAAATTTCTATAAAATTCAGCATATCCAACTACAACTTCAGGAATTTAGCCAATTCAGACACTTATCAAATGGGCCCTAACAAATCTATTTTCCCTTTTTTAACAATCCAGAGGCATCACAGTATCCTTAAACATGACCAAACTTTATGGCCATAAAAAGTTCATTTTTTATCAAACAGAGGAAAATCAATTGAGGCGGCTAGTTTCGTAGGTGGTTTTGTGCTTGGTGGGATTCTTGTTGGGGGCATTGGGATGCATATATTCATCACAGGTCTATATAAGATTGTTGGTAGTTTTGAATGGACTATTTTCACTTTGAAAGTAATTTGATATAAAAGAACAAGCAAAAACAATCAAATATGCAATTACTTTCCTTTTGAGTAGTCAATTCTCAAGAAGAAAAAAAAACTTCTTCTTCGTATATATTTCTATATTTTTCCTAATATTATATTTTCTGGACAAATCCTCCATATGATTATTTAAATTTCCTTTTATTTTTACCTTAATTTGTTTAACAAATATACTTTCCAGAAAATTCGAAACTAATGGATTGTATTGAATGTCAAAATTCAGAGATTGGGTATATCAACAAACTCTTCAATCTATAAAACTATAAGAAATGTATAAATTTAGATAGAATACCTAGATGAAGAAGGTAGGGGTATAGCGCTGGTCACTGCTTCCGTAATATGTTGCTGGCGATGGAATTGGATTCAGAGTGCAGGTGTCGGCGATGAGAGGTGAAGAAGAAGGCAAGTGATTTTGGCGTTGAAGATAGGTGAAGCATAGTGCAAGTGCCGACGATGAAAGCAAGTATCAGCAAAAAACGTAGAAGCCAAGCGAAGGAAAAATCAGGGTTAAACACAACACTCTGATAAATTGGGACGTATGTATAGCAAGGACAACTAAAACGAAGCTAAACGAATTAAGTCAGAAAATGTCTGACCGATTAAGTCACCCTTTGTATAAAGTCCTAAGTAAACAAGCCAGTATAACTGACCGAATAAGTCACCATTTCAATTCAGTCCATTAAGTTCAAATTAAACAGGCCCTAAGTCAAATATGATGAAATTGACCACATTGACAATAAAATAATAAAGAAATGGAGACAGGAGAAAGTATCCACATGGGATACAATCTATGTTCTAAAAATCTTTCTAAGCGCCCGACTAATCCTCGCCTAGGCGTTAGGCGGTGGTCGGGTGCCCCAATTCTCATCTAGGCGCTCCGACTAATTGGTTTGCCGTCCAAGTGAATTAGTCGGCCGCCTATAACGCCTAGTTGCCCACCTAGAGCGCCTAATCGGCCGCCTAGGCCGTTTAGATTCGCCAAACATTAGTTTACTTTTTAATTTTAATTTTCTAAGCAATATACGTACTTTAACTTTAGCCATGATATAAAGAAATGAAGTTGTAAATTAAGAAAAACTATATAGTTTGTATATACACCTAAATTTTATCATTATTTATATTTATGACATAATAAAGTTAAGTGATTAGTTGTCATGTACTACGTATGATTAAATGTGATAATTCTATCATTCATGTTTGTTAATGTATATGTATATATGTATTTTATACACACAAAAATACAAAATTACTTATCATATTTATGCAAAAATATAGATAAAAATGCAATTTCTATGTTTCCGACTAGTCCCCGACTAGGCGCCCGCCTAGCCGCCTAGGCACTAGGCGTTGGGCTGGCGCCCGACTAGCGCCTAGCGCCTTTTAGAACATTGGATACAATCTGAAACAGTATCGACCACTTTGATATGTTCATGGGCTCATGGCATTGGCCATTGGTACAATGGTCGGCTCGGCCATCTCTGCATGACTTAATTTGACTTTAATCACTCAAAATGCAAAAACAAGGGGAAAACACAGACAAGAAAATCATATGTCCAAATCATCATCGGGATCTTCATCAGAATCTGGCATTTCATCATCTGAATCTCGATAATAGATTATTTCACCCCTGCCAGAATCCTCAGTTGTTTGAAGCATCTTATCAGAAATATTTCTGTTTTTCTCCGTGCCATTAAGAATTTTTCGGCCATCATAGATTTCAATGGGCTTACCATTCCCTGTACAAAGAAGTGGGACTGGATATCAAATTATCAATAAGAGATGCAGGAAAGAGCTACTGTTCCAATGCAGAGTGTTTTTGAGAGAGCTTAGCATATATGACAGGGTTCTAATTAGATCACATACTATCATAAATATCTTAATATTAAAAGAGAACTTTTAATTCCCTCCTTTAACTTTTTTAGTTCATTAACAAAAATGATGATAATTAGTAACATGATATTTTTGTAAGATATTTTGTTGATTTTTGTAATTATTCCAGGACAAGACTTTTGATTCATTAACATTATTTTAAAATCTGATGCACTTTTTAGGTACATATATGCACTAGTATTTATATTTTAGATTATGATACACTTTTTCCACGCTGAGCTTCAACTTATTTTCTAAATGCTACCACAATTTTGCCTTCAAAATTCATCTTCTACATCCATTTTTGTCAATCAATGACTAATATAAATTCTTAATCTTCACCAAAGACTAGAGGCATTTTTTATTTGAACCAATCATCCATGAATAAGGGGGTGTTTGGAACTGATTCTGCTTCTGCTTCTTTTTTAAAGCAGAAGCAGAATCAAAATCAGTTTTCAGAAGGTGGTCTCCCCCAGCTTCTAAAAAAAACTGATTCTATTTGTAAATTAGAGCACCAGAATCACTTCTGCACTTTTACCCAAACACTCCAACTTCTGCTTGTGCTCTTTGAAGGAGCAGAAGCAGTTTTAAGAATCAGATCCAAACACCCCCTAAGATAAAATTCTTATTTGAACTTTTTGTTGTATTCGAAACTCTCCGAGACCATTCATCCAATCGAGGCTACAAAAACAGAGATATTGAAGTACTCATAGATTCAAAAACACGTCCATACCCTGGTGTTCAAATGGGAGCACAACCTTCTCACGATCAAGGCGTTCCTTTTCTGATAGCAGGAGATTAAATTGCACCTGTAAAGCACTCATCACATTAATTCACGAGATTTAATTATTAATAAATAATTAAATAGAAATATGCAATATAATATCAATATTTGGGTCCCATTTTAAAAGAAAAACCGGACAAGAGAAGTCATTTTTTGCCGGTTTGTATTTCTATATGTGGCTCATAGTGATGGTGATTTAACATGCATTTATATGTTGCACATTTGCACTAGTTTAGGGGAGGAAAATAAATTCTAAGGTTATAGGCGGTGGGGCAACCTTGGGCACAAGGCTTTGAGCAGTTAGATCGCCATCTTCCAAATTACAATGGGTGAATTTAACACCAGTATCCACAACCTGTATATCTTCACGCTGAAAAAAAAAATCAAATTAGAGACGATTTGATCAAATAATAAAATAACAATGTTGTCACTGATGATTTATTACCATGACTCTAACACGCCCATTCCTTCGCTTGAAGCGTACTTGAAACTTCCCTCTTTTAAAGTTTTGTTCCATCATTGGTAGGTTCTCTGTGGTAGTAGCCCTTCGACCACTTACTGTCTGAGACGTCACTGGTACTATATCAGCACGTATGGTAGACAAATATCCAAGTGTAGAAGTGACTTTGGTCTCATGAAGGTCCGAATTCAATAAGGAAAACACACTTGAAACCTGGTCTGCAATCAAAATCATAAGTATGAAAAAGAAATTCGAAAATCCTTCATCCTACAGAAGAATGACTAGATAGGAACTTCACTGATAAATGAGTACCATAAGAAACACCTCAGAAATATTGATTGGAGCACATGCGGATGATATCTATTACTCCCGCCGTCCTAAATTTGGAGCAAGGGAATGTAGCACTCAAATAAAGAAAAAGTAAAATTGAGTGGTTGATATTATTTGTAAAGTATGGCTGATTTTGAATTACTCAAATATGACCAAATATGATGTGGGACAGATGAAAATAGAAAAAGGGAAACCAGAATGGGGTGGAGGAAGCATAACACAAGAAGATATAATCAGATATCACCTATTACAGCCCGTTTGCTCAGAGGGTTATTACATGAAATACTTGAATTGCTGACTTTCCAGAAGGAAGAGAGTGTAACACCCATTTCAGCCAAACAAGCAACTTTTGGCAACTAAACGGAGGCGTTAATATTAACTAAGAACAGAAGATCATACTTATGGATAAAGAATTCACATGTACATTAAAATATGTCAATGTGTTGTAAGAACTGCATACTAAACTTCGTTAAAAGCAATATGATTATGATACAGTGGACTTTCCTGACAAAGTTTAGAGATTTTAATAACTGACATATTATGTAGTATTTGGACCTAAGAGTTGTTATTCCATAATAATGGAGAAAAATGCACAATATTTGTAATCTAAACGAGCATTACTCTATTGGAAAAGCAAACAAGTTTGAGGCCATCCTTTGAGCCAATAGACGAAGTTTCTAGTCCTTTCTGCACCATTTATGAAACTAGGCACAAAAATCTTTATATTTCCACATCGTTGGGCACCTATACTATAAGCAAAAAGTAGTTGCAAAAGCAACCAAGAGAGTATACCATGACAGCGGAGGTGGCTTAAAATTCTAGCGACAGAATGGATGGATGAGTGTCTCAACATCTCACTTACCTGCAGATAGAGATCAAAAGGTAAAAGAGAATATTAAATGCAAGCCGAAGGAATCCAATGGAAGTTATTTTCATATGTTTGGCAATACATTGCAAAATGCAGACGGAAATAAAATAGGACCGGATTTTTAATTTTCAACATATACTTTTATTTTTTAAATAATAAATAAATCAAAAGTCATTTGAACAAGTATCTAATACGGAGTACTAATTTAGGGAATTTGAGCATCTCTTATCCCCCACAGTTTCTTTAAGTCTACTCACGAATTTCCTAAAATTTTATCTGGTATTTTACACGTTCCAAACAGACCCTTAATAAAGAGAAAGAGATGGGACTTTCCCAACACACACATTCCTTTATCAGGTTTGAAGCTTCATAGGTTTACCGAATCTATAGCAACTGTGAATCTTCCTTTTCCTTCTCCAACCATTTCTGCAAAAGAAACGGCACACAGAATAACAACAATAATAGTAGTAGTCATAAAACAATACCACCCCATACAAAGAAAGTCTGTCTCCCTACCTTTTCCAAGTTCAACTATTGAGGTCAATAGCTTATTGGAGTCCTTAACATGGGTGAATAGAGTACTCTTAACATAAGTCTCTACAGGGGTACTATTAGTAACAGTCCCAAGCTCCTTGAGTCTAGATTTCCAACCCAAAGGATCAGTGTAGCAATCCAAAACGCTAAGCCTTATAAAATTTCAGCATATGAATATATCAACCTTTCAATGTGTTTTAATAAGAACACTGTACATTTGTAATACACGAAGTAATTTCATAATTATGGATCAAACCATTTATTTGAAGAATCGCCGTCACTGCATCTACATTTGAGCAATTCAGCATAGAATGACGGGGGCCGATAAAAAGCGACCAATAAAATTCCTCTGGGAAATGCATCAAGTAAAATAAATAAGTAAAGTAACTTAAAGACTACTCTTTTTTCTTTCTTCTGAACTATCACATGAGCTTGTTGGATAATTGAACTGACCGAGACTGCGATTTACCGGCGGAAATGCTAGAAAAAAGCTGGGAGAGAATGTGATTGAAAACTAGTGGTCCGAGAGGTGATTCAATGGAGTCGTTCAGATTGAGAGCAGGGGCGTGCTCCCCCTCTAATGCTCCATCTCTAAGGCTTCTGCATATTAATTCCGCCATTTGTGGTTGATAACCAGTGTCGGGGCTCCGAATACCGTTGAGATTGTGGGGTCGATAAAACCCTAATTGGCAACTTCCTAAATTAGTACTCCGTGTGTCGATTAGCGAGCAGTAGTTTGAGACTTTGAGTTGAGGCGAGTCAGGCGACAGAGCTAGCCTTCTGGGGTGGGACTTTGTGAGGACGTGATGTACAAGCCACGTTTTATTGCTAGGCGTAGACATTTTGGTGTACCTCTAGCACATAGAGGATTGTTTGGTTAGGATTTGAAAGAAAAAAAACTCTTTAATTTTGGACTAGTCAAATGGTTTATTGCTATGTTCTTCATTCAACTTTACTTGTGTTTTTAGACTTTTATTATTATTTTGGTGTGATTGTTATTTGCTTCAAATCTCCCGTATGTTTAATAATAATAGTTCATATGTTTTGAATTTGTAGAAGTGGTAAAAACTGATGACATAAAAAATTATAAAGAACTCTATTTTGCTTTTTTGATGATCAGCAATTCATGTTGCTTCTTTTTAAGCAGTCATCTTATAATATGATCACATGGCTATTCTTGAGTCTAGATAGAGCTTTTAGAAAATAATTGGCTAATATTTAGATTTTGACTAATTATAACGGCTAATAATTGGTTAAATTACTGTAATTTGACGTTTTCTTTCCAAAAAAAAAAAAGATTCCATACACATGTTTATGAATATGTTCATAGACAAGCATGTTTTGTTTATAAACAAGCATTTTAAAACAATAAGTAAGTTTTGTTAAACATGTTGCAAACAGGTGTGTCAAGCATTATTGATTTGGATTAGGCATGGACCGGTTCCGGGCCAGGCTCCGGGCCAGTCCAAACCGGGCTTTTATTTTTTGGGGGGTGGGCCCAGAACTGGCCCGGTTTGCAACCAGGTCCAGGCCGGTTCATATCTATATATATTTTTGCTTTTCTAATTAACCGCCGACCCCTCCCACCCCCACCCCCAAACCCACCCAAAATACCTAGCCCAACCCGTGAAAAACAAAAAAAAATTGAAAAAAAAAATTAAATAGGCCCGAACCGGGCTCGGCCCAGCTGAGCCGGTTCCAAAGGAAGGGTATGCCCGGAACCGGATCGCTCTAACACACCGGGCCGGTCCTAGGCCCTGGGAACCGCCGGTTCACCAGGCCGGTCCGGGCCCGCACAGTGGCGGGTCGGGCCGGGCCGACCGGAACCGGTCCCTGCCTAATTTGGATACGCTACGTATTTATGTGCCTATGCATTATTGTTTTGATGCGATATGTATGTTAATGGTTTTTACTTTTTAGTGTAAAATAGATGAAAATATCCTTGAAAAGAAATAAAAAACATATTCCAGACAAATTTGGTTCAACAATCTGGTCTATCCATCTGAAAAACCCAAAAACACTGACCAACTCACACAGGGCCGTCTCCGTCCCATTTATATTGTCTCGTTTTACCTTTTCGGGAAGTCCCACTTAAATTGTCACATACCATATTTGGCAAAGTTTGTGTGGCTCTAAATCATTCTTACTTTATTCTTACTTTATCAATTAATATCAACCATACAAATCACTTTCTTAATAACTGTGCCATGATTTTAACTTAGTCTCATTTTATTGTTATTATTTCTCATTTTTGACTTTATTTTGCAAAATTATGCCTTGGACTTGATTACTATTTTTATTTCTTTCATTAACTTATGGAATTACAAATTATTATTTTATGTGGTAATGGGATTTGCTACTTGATTATGTGTATACTTTTATTTGTTTTTACTATATATCTTTATTTGTGAAGTATATACTTTAAATGTTTAAAATAATACCCGTATTTTTGTCTGAATTTTTGTAACATATATACCTTATTATACACGTATACGTATTCACACGTTTTTAAAAGTCAACGTATTTTTCAATGGATTTTGACCGTCTTTTTCATTCTTGTTACCGAATAAAACACGTATGTATTAAACCCCGTTTAATTCCCGTACTGTATTTAACTAACTATGCCAGAGGAATGTTGGTGTTGGTTTGAAGATTTCAGTGGATTTTTTTGTCAGTTGGTTTATTGGAAACTAGTTACTCCACCTGTGCGTTGCACGGGATAGAAGTTTATTATAATATTTTGGCTAAAGGGTCAAATAGATACATGAACTAACTTAAAGTGTTCGATTAGCCCCTTATATAGGAGGTTCTGCCCGGTCGTCGCCAATTGGCGCGGTTCCCGGTAGAATTTTTTGATGAAATTTTTTAAGCAACTTCTTCATTAAGTCTAGTTTACCTATACCAAATTTCAGCTAAAAATTCAATCGGGAAGGCAGTCAAATGATTTTTTGAAGATAACTGCGCAGTTAAACAACGCAGTACATTTCGTAAAATCAATTGACTGCCTTCCCGATTTAATTTTTAGCTGAAATTTGATATGGGTAAACTAGACTTAATGAAGAAGATGCTCAAAAAATGTCATCAAAAAATTCAACTGGGAACCGCCCCAATTGGCGATGGCCGGGCAGAACCTCCTATATAAGGGGCTAATTGAACACTTTAAGTTAGTTCATGTACCTATTTGACATTTTAGCCTAATATTTTCAGTGGAATTATATGGAAAAAAAAACTTGATAGTAATCCAATAAATTTTAAACATTAAATAGATAACAAAGTAAGACGCCATTATAATGGCAAACTAAGAAATAAACGGTAGAAATTGAATAGATATACCACACGATGAAAAAGATGTACATGTAATTTTTTTTATGTACATGTAATTAAGTCTATGAAATTGTAAAGAAAACTACAAATTATTAAAAAAGTCTTTGTATGCAACATCAACTCGATGGACTTGTTACTCACGATACCATCGCCACCAGGGGCGGATCCAGGATTTCACGTTGGGGTGGGCTGAAAATCTTAATTGATAATACATTGAATTTTTTTCAAAATAAGCAAAAACTCAAATATAAACTTGTCAATAATAGAGTCTACATCTATACTGAGGGTAATTTCTTTTTAATATAAACTCGTCAACAATAGAGTCTACATCTATACTGAGAGTAAGAAATTAATCATCCATTTTGTTGCAGAGTGTTGTCTTTTGATGTTTCACGGCAGAAAATGATATTCTACGGTTGCAGTAGAAACAATAAGATGATCATTAAATGGGTCTGTAACTCCATAAAAAAGTCTTATTGAAATCGTCAAAGTGATAATGATGATCAACAGTAGTTTATTTTCGGCAACGACCAACCATATATTTAGAAATTAGAATTCAAGCCTGGTGCATGAATTTATTTTTTTGAGCAAAACTCATTTACTTCTTCAAGAAAACCTTCCCATCCATTTCCGGTCAATTCCTAAAGAATGAGTTGTGAAGTAGAAATATGTCTCATGGCTACCAAGATATCCAATAATTTTTTGAAGGCCTTGAGAGAGAACAATCGTTATTTCCATAACTTTGTGCATCAAAAGTAAATTGAACACAAATTCAAAACATGGAAAGTGTCTATACACACTACGAACTTCTGCCCAAGACCTCACTTTTGTGCAATTAATGTTCTTGAAGATCCTCAAACACTTTACAAGTTGATGTGAACATGCTAATCAAGTTGTTATATTATATACCAAGTGCCATTTATTAAGTTGGAAGTGATGTGTATAACATTTTGATTAGATTTTTAGATGATAAGAATTTGATTTATGGGTTGGACTGAAAAATTTGATTGGGCTATAGAAATATCTGGGGTGGGCTGGATGGAATTTTATCAAAATAATACCTTAAAAATATTAATTTTTTTTACTTTGTCCTGGGCTTCAGCCCACCATAGCCCTAACATATATCCTCCCCTGATCGCCACATACCACTGTTGATGCGTAAAAATGGTCAGAGCTATGGAGTATGGGTGGACTCGGGCCGGTTCGGGCCTGGGCCCGGCCGGGCCTCGGGCCAGAAGACTAGGGCCCGGGCCCGAACTGCCGGTGGGCGGTTCCGGTTCCGGTTCCGGGCCAAACCGGGCCGGGCCAACCGGTCTTTTTTTTTTTTTGGTTCTCCTTTTTAACCCCCTCCCCCTCAACCCCAAACCACCTCAAATGGCCGAAAATACCTAATCCAACCCAAAACTTAAAAAAATCTCAAAAAAAAAAATTAAAGTCCGGTCCGGACCGGGCCCGAACCGGCCGGGCCGGTTCACCAAAATCAGGGCCCGAGCCCGGACCGCCATCCCACCGGGCCGGGTGGCCCGAACCTGTGCACCAACCGGTTGACCGGGCCGGTCCGGGCCCGCACAGTAGCGGGCCGGTCCGGTTCCGGGCCGGTTGGCCCGGCCCGAGTCCACCCCTACTGTGGAGGAAGATGACAACCTTTTCCAACGACTGATCCCCACTTTTTTCATTAACGATTTTTGCATAACTAACCATTAATGAAATTATTGCATATTCATTAATAGATGTTTAAAGTTCATTTTAAATTTGGCTAATAGAAGTCTATTCAATACACAGTTACACTCACATGGAGTTTGAAACTATTGTTTAGGTTTGATGCAAGAGGTAACTATTTTTTACCACCTCTCCATTTCAGTGGAGTTTTTTGTCAGTTGGTTTATTGGAAATTTGGAATAGTTAACCACCAGTAATTAAACTCTATGGAGGTTGGACGATTGGTAGGCCTGGACTCAGGCCGGGCGGCCCGACCCGGAACCGGCCCGGCCCGGCCACTGTAGCAACCGGCCCGGCCCGGTGGCCCGGTTCACCGGCGGTTCGGGTCGAACCGGCCCGGTGGTTCCCGGTTCCGGGCCCGGGCCCTCCATATGGTGAACCGGCCCGGCCGGTTCGGGCCGGAAATAATTTTTTTTTTTATTTTTTTTTTGAAAATTTTTTATGTTTTGGGTTAGATTAGGTATTTTGGTCCATTTGAGGTGGTTTGGGGTGGTTTGGGGTTGAGAAAGAGGGGTAGGGGATTAAATAAAGAAGCCAAAAAACAAAACAAAAAAAATAGGGCGGGTGGCCCGGCCCGGAACCGGCCTGGTCTGGCCCGGAACCGGCCCGGAACCGGCCACCCCCGGTTCGGGCTCGGGCCTCAATATTCTGAACCGAGGCCCGGCCGGGCCCAGGCCCGAGGCCCGAACCGGCCCGGTTCAGTCCACCCCTAGCGATTGGCAGCATTGGCTTTTAGACCAAAAATGTTGGTTTGGATTGTGTGCGAGTATTACAGGGCCGTGCAAGCAGTGGTTCTGCACTCG